TTTCTCTTCCACTAGGCCTACAGTTAAATCACACTGAAAACCTTAGTTTTCATTTGATCAAGTTAAGCAGTGTTGTGCTTGATCAGTACTTAGAGGGGGGACACACACACACACACACACACACATACAATACCAACAAAGGGTAATTAGCCGTAAAAAACAACTCAATTTTTACCACTAGAATTTGATGTGACACTATATACATAATTGTTGAGACATTTCTTTAGTAATTTCTGACCTAGGTTTAACAGCTTGTGGTGTGGGGGAGCTGGCTTGTAACGTTCAATACCACTAAAACAAAGATAGTAATGTTGCATCTTCACTGTGCAGACCCATGATAAATGCACTCTAAGTGAGGCTCCTTTATTGGGACTCAACTTCATCCCAGACCTCAAGTGAAGAATATATATATATATATATATATATATATATATATATATATATGGCCTGATGATTGCGTCTCTAACATGAACAGACTGTCACCTCTGAGTGTTGACTTCAATGTTCACTTTTATATTTATATACGTATTTACATATGCTCAATATCAGAGATAGAGCGTATATAAATATAAAAGTGAACATTGAAGTCAACACTCACAGGCGACAGTCTGTTTCATGCTAGAGACGCAATCGTCAGGCCATAAATTGTCCCTAAAAGGGAAAGTGCTGAGAAAGCTTGGGCTGTTTTCCACGGTAGTGCAGTTAAAAACCCACTCTAAAGTGGCTTTTATTACTGACCTTGTGTCACAGCGACGTAAGCGCACGAAAAAATACATACTCATCGTCAACAACTGTCATTTCGATCCTTATTTTTAATTTTTTTTTATTATTTTGGTTATATTTTTAAAATAAAATAAATGCATATATGTATTTTATGAGTTTCATTCAAAATGTTTACGTTCGACGTAAGGGAGCTAAATCAATCTTTCTTATGAAAAAAACATATGAAACGTTAAAAACGATTATATCCAGCTCATAGTGTCCAAGTTCATAAGAGTAAAGCGCCAATTATAAATGAATAGATTTCTAATTAATGTTCTTTGGCGAGATGCGATTAATATAAAGTTGTCTCCCCTTTTTTTAATTTTCAACACAAATTTTTAAACAACTGGAATTTTTGACAAATGAGAAAGATATTCATGTTTCTCAATATATTATATTTTCAGGTTCCTTAATTTGATTTTTAAAGGAGACTTTTTTAAAGACCAAATAAAGTAAACTGTTAGTGTTAATAATAGTTTTCCCAACAAGTTTACGTGTTGCCTAGCAACAATATTTCTTTGTCGCTGTTGGAAGATTTTCATCGGAAAAATTTCGCATTTTATTTTTTTATTTACAAGTGGAATTTCACGATCCCATTAAGTCTGAGGAACGGGTAAGAAGATTATTAATGTTATTTTTTTAAATCTATTGAATGAAATTAAATAAAGAGTCTGTACTTGCAAATTATTTTAATTCAAAAGAGTTTTTTTTAGTATTGAGAAGTTTCACTTTTCGAGATGGGAGATAAAATGTTCAATTTGTCCCATAATAATTAAAATTTAAAAGAAAATTTTCAGAAAATAGAGAGGATAATTCGGTCATTACCAGATTTTGGAAATTTAAAGTATTTATTCTCGACTAATTTAATTAATCGAGAATACTTTAAATTTCCAATAGTCTATATTTCTCAATCTATTGTCATGTCATATCTATCTATCTATCTATCTATCTATCTATCTATCTATCTATCTATCTATCTGTTGATTTGTCTTTAGCTTGCCCAGTTCTTTCTTTCTTTCTTTCTTTCTTTTTTGTGGCTTATTTGTTTTTAGTTAACCCAACTCTTTTCTATCTATCTATCTATCTATCTATCTATCTATCTATCTATCTATCTATCTATCTATCTATCTATCTTTTGGTTGATTTGTCTTTAGCTTGCCCAATTCTTTCTTTCTTTCTTTCTTTCTTTCTTTCTTTCTTTCTTTCTTTCTTTCTTTCTTTCTTTTGGTTTATTTGTTTTTAGTTAACGAACCCAACTCTTTTATCTATCTATCTATCTATCTATCTATCTATCTATCTATCTATCTATCTATCTATCTATCTATCTATCTCATTATTAATAGAAATTTGTCACTTAGCTGATTGATATACCTTGATTTAAATCTGTTTTTCTTTTGTCTATTCTACGTGGGGCGCTTCGAAATTAATGCCTCTTCTGGTTTATTTCTGCGGAAACTATTACATTTGAGTACAATAACACTATTGAACACTTTCCATTGACTATGTATTTTTGCCAGCAATGAAAAAGATCCTGCTGAAGGTGAAATGTATTCCTTACCATTTACTTCTGTTTGATAATTTGTAAGTGTTCAGCAAGTGTTGATGAATGTCAGTGGATAATTTCTTCCATATGGACGAATTCCAAGATACACCTCTGCTGTGTGTGTTTTGTAGTAAACTGCTGGTCAGCTTCTATTTGTTTTACAAGTAAAAAAAAACAAACAATGGGTTATTGACTGGAAGGTTCAGTCCTTACTGCTATACCACCAAAATCGACTTCTGATATTGTAGACAAAATAGCTAACCTCATATCTATCTATCTATCTATCTATCTATCTATCTATCTATCTATCTATCTATCTATCTATCTATCTATCTATCTATCTTTATTGAGCTGGTCAAAAATTGATAATGATTCCTTTCTTTGACTTCGTGACTTAATGTAGTACAGGATTATTTTTAATTGTGGGGGGGTTCCTGTTTCTATCCCTAGTGTAATAATGGAGAGGTACTGTTTGAAATAAAAATCCTTATGAATAGATTATTGACTGACTTCCAGTCTTGTTGGATTAAATTAAAAAAAAATGACTTTTCCCAGATGAAAACATGAAATTTTTAATTTCTATCTATACAGGATATCCCCCGAAAAATGTCCCCACTCTTTAAATGACTGTAGCGGACCGTTGGTTGATGAGGTGGAGAACACACGTGGTGTTAAAATTTCCTGCTAGCCGGTCCAATTACATGAGAAAGTTGGACTTTAATTAAGTTCAAAGAAAACAAACAAGACCGATAACTATATGTAAACAAATATATGTATTAATAACAAGTTACAGGTTACAAGCATATGGAGTGCGTGCGGTGAATATTACGTGTGTGTGTTGTGGTGAGTGTTCGTACGTACGTGTATTGTTCTTAGCGTGTTCCCAGAATTTGGGAAACGCTGTATCTGTGAGAGCTCACATCTACGAGGTGGTACATGGCCCAAGGCCTGAGGAAAAAAAGAGATCGAGGCGAAGGGTCAGCCAGTATTTATAGCCAGGGGAGAGAGAGACCCCTGGTGAAGGGTTAAGGATCTGAGGAAGAGCTAACTCCGACATGACAATAAATGCAGTGTTTATTGACTAGCGAACAAGATTAATGGTTAAAATTACGAAATATTAATGTTTATTGACTTACAAAGAAGATTAGTTGTTTAAATTAAATATTAAATGCAAATTAAATAGAAATCCTTGTTTTGCTTTATGTGCTGTATCTCACCAGGACGTAGACGATCATGGCTCTCCAGAACTTCCTGTCCTTTGTAACTTTTAATAAACTTTGTCTTTCTATTATTTCACCCAAACTCCGTTCTGCCATGCATTTACTCAAGCTAAGAAAATGTTATGTGTTGTTTTCCGCTGTCTTCTTTTGCCCTCTATCTATACTCTGTGTGTGTTTGTGTGTGCAGGTAGTGTATTGGAGAGGGATTTGAAAAAAGAAATTCTTGAACTGAGTTTAAATTCTGGCTGAGTTTGATAAATATTCCTTGAGAAAGGTATAGATTCATCTCTTCTTCCACCAGCTATCGGTTAAAGTGTAGGGTAAACTGGGCTCTATTGCCTTGGTTGGCAACCAATCTAGAAGAAAGAAAATTTTGAATTCAGGAATATGAATGAGGATGGCTGTTTCGGGACTTTGTGGCAAACTGCATCATTTCTGTGTTATTTTGAAAAGTGTGACTAATTCTACACAAGCCTTCACTACTATAATCAAAGCATGTATGTGGGTGTAGTCTGGTAATTCAGTTATAAAAACTGTACTTTTAGCCATTATCAAGGATGATTCAATATTAACTATGAACAAGGCCACAATGTGCTAACCGTATTCGGAAATTAAAAACATCTCTACAACACACTAAAACATACACATAATGCACACACTCAATTAAGCTGAAAAATTGAATCATCCTTAATAATGGCTAAAGGTATAGCAATCTATATTTTAGATCGAATAATTTTTCGTGTAAACATAGATTGCACCTGTCATATATATATATATATATATATATATATTAAGAAATGGACAAGGTCCGACAATTTATTTATTAAAGACATTTTATTATGTTTAACGTTGTTATTTTATAGATACAAGTATTTAAGCAAATGCTCTGTTTATGATAAACAGTATTAAATAACATTTACCGGCCTGAATGTCCGAGAAATTTTCATAGAAAATATTCGTTCTTTGACAGGATTCGAACCTGCATCCTATACGGAACCGTCATATACGCTGACGTGCCTTACCGCTAGGCTACAAAGAAGCGTTCGGTAGACAAGGTCGAATTTACTGCTTATAAACTCCAATTTTCCATGAATCTCGTACATTCATAACTGCTCTGGCGTATCGAATGTAAACAAATGACGTCATATATTAAGAAATGGACAAGGTCCGACAATTTATTTATTAAAGACATTTTATTAAGTTTAACGTTGTTATTTTATAGATTATAAAATTATATTATTACATAATAAAATGTCTACCATTGTTCAGTCATCTTGCCATCAGCTTCTCATTGAATATTTGTTAGTGGAGGAGGAGAGGCTGCTAAGTCTGCGGTACCAGGACGTAGAATCAACAGCAATCATGTGCAGATATCTCTTCTTTCTAAGTCCTATGGCGATGGGGACATGGCGACGTGGGAAGGCCTAACAAACAGGAAGTCCACAGTCACAACTTTTCGTCTAGATTTAATTTCAAATTTTAATTTTCCGCTTGCTCTTATTTTCGGTCATACAACGATTACCTCCCTTTAACTAGTCAAACGATTTTTACGAACAACATACACCGTTCTAATTTTAAATTTTAAGCGTCCTTCAATTTCCCTTTTTTCTTACCATTGACTCATAACTATACCTCATTTCCTGCACTTGAACACCGGTGTTGCTTCAGTACTATTTTTGTGCTATTTTAATTTTGAACTATAAATCACAGCATCCATCCCATGAGCATCTGTGTACTTTTTTTTTAAATAAATAAACAATAAGCTATATGTTGTGCCCGACGAATTGGGTAACCACCGAAACTCGAGTCGCACACTAAACATAGGTATATGTGTATTTATTAATATATATTTCTTAGCTCTGTCTAATCACATTAAGCACTATTATGTCTACACCTCTTGGCTTAATTTCATCATTATTTATTCGCTTACTAGCGTATGCAGATGAACAGCACACGCGAATACGGCCGCTAATGTCTAGTTATCTCATTTACCTAACCTTTATATATATATATATATATATATATATATATATATACACACACACACATACATATATATATATATATATATATATATATATATATATATATATATATATATATATATATATATTAAGACATGTTTCGTTAATTTAGACACGTGCTGCCTACTTATTCTCAATAGGATTCTTTCATACTCACGAATTAACTTTTTTGTGAGGTTAATGAAAGACGAGAGGAAGACGCCGTGTTGGTTCATATTGTATTTATTTTTAGTACTTTCGACATACCATAATGTCATCATCAGGGTATTGGTAATTATAGGATAATTATTCTAGTGTCCTTGGTTATGGAAGACAAAATTTGTTGTGTCACGCTGTGGCTCGCGAGCATGGATTAAGGGGAGGTAAGTAGGGATTGTTATGGCAGATTTTCCGACGTCAGTAGTCGAAAAATAAAGGAATGAACTAACATTTATGACTATCTATTGTACACATCTTAAAATGTTTATGGTGTATTCATAACTAATTTTATTAAGGTTTGGTTTCAGTTTTTTATATAAATAGCTTCAAGGATTTTTCGTTTGTGTTTATTCTTGTCTCGGAAAAATATGGATGTTTTTTCAACTGTGGACAGGTATGCTGTTGTAAAAGTTTAGAAATATTGGAGGTGTTATTCAAATGCAGACATAGCCTAAGTGAAAGTGTTGTTGTCGTGTGTCCAACATAGATGTTATTTTTATCGTTGAAGATATAATCTTCCAGAGGACATTTAAATTTATAAACAATGTTGGTTTTCTGCAACACATGAGTGGGCGGGGAAAAGTCATTACGAATTATTTTATTAGATATAGTGGATTTAGTGTATAATTAAGGTGGCTGTGTTGGTTTTTATTAAATTTTTTAGGATAGTTTCGTCTTGTTTATAGTTAGCATGCATTTGGTTGCGATGTAGAAGGTTGTTGTTTTTAGGGTTAGTTGGGGGAGTATTATATTCTATTTGTTTAGTATCGCGATCTCTGTTGGACCATCTTATTTGTTCATCGACGATCTAGTTAGGGAATTTGTTATTGTTGAGTGTTTGTTTTATATATACATACATACATGTACATACATATATTTATATATATATATATACATCCATATATACATATATATAGATCAGTGACGTAGCTAGAGTAAACGTCACCCGGGGCGGTCCGCTCAAATGTCACCCCAATGACCCCGATTCACCCTATGTAGTTAATGTGCATTTGATTTTTGTAATAAATGTTTATGTAATTTTTGAGTGTTTGTTCACTATCGTTATTACTTTGGGGAGAAATAGTCTAATGTGGTGGTCTATAAGGTGGTTAGGGAAGCCGTTGTTGATTAGTGTTTGTTTTATATTATTAAGTTCTTTGAGGAAGAGTAGTCGAGAGGATGAACTCTGGTGTGCTCTTTTTAGAAAGTATTTTATTACTGCTATTTTCTACCTGAGTAGGCATTTGCTTTTAAAGTTATGTAGTATGTAGTAAGTTTGTGTGTGTGTGTGTGTGTTCAAATGAATTCTAATAGAGCTGTGGTCAGGTAGATGTAACGTAAGGCGTCTAGATAGGCATGTAGTCGTGTGACTGATGTAATTATCTATGAATTCAGTTTGATCAGGAACACAGTTCCTTAATGTGCATTTGAACTCAAGGATAATGTTCGTTCGTTGTAATTTTGATTTTGTTAACGTGTTATTATTTTTGAGGATAAGGTTAGTTGTTTTAATTTTTTTGTAGTAGATAATTAATTTGATTTTTTTTGTTCGGGTCAGTTATATATATATATTTTATTATGGGATATTACATTCAATCATGGTAAACTCTTCACAAATGCACTAATGTTTTAAATGATGATCTGCATTTTCTCCTGTAAACGCAGAAAAAAAGGTTCGTATAAGTATCTACATGTCCTTGCTAGTTTGAAAAATTTTCTATTTAACTCTCGGGGTTTTATTTTCATCTTTCAACTTCCAAAAATATTTGGAAAGTGAAGTATTATTTTTATAAGTAACATTAGTAAAAGAAGACAAGTGCTGATACCACCAGGTTTTGAAAGAATTCTTGATATTGCTTATATAAAACTTTTAAACCCTCGAATTTTCTATTGTAGAAATAGAACACAGATTCATAAGCATTTGTTAAACAGTCGGTATTGGTTAAGATTCCTACAATTACATTGGTCACTGTCCTTAACAATATTTGCATTTGTTCTTGCATTACGGTTAAAATTATTAAACAGATTCATTCACTCCATATGCTGTTGCTAATTCAATCAGCGAATTTTTGTACAATCCAGACGAAGAGTTAACTTTTCCAACTTATTATAAAGATATGAAAGGATCTTCAAAAGTGATTGTCCGCATTGGAATGATGAAAAGAAAGTTTGGTTATTATTGAGGAAATTGTCCCCTGCAGAGTATGAAAAATATGTAAATTATATTTTGCTGAAAACATTTTGGTGATAGGAGCTACATAAATATGAGGACGGAACAACTAAACCAATAGTTCATGCTTCAAGATCATTAATTGATGCTGAAAGAAGCTACAGTCAGATTGAAAAGGAAGCATTGGCCATCATATTTGCAAGTAAAAAGTTTCATAAATTCATATGTGGTAGAGAATTTATTCTACGGACAGACCATCGTCCATATATTGATAAAAAAAGGGTGTTCCCGCACACACACAGCGAATAGACTGCAGAGCTGGGGTACTGTTCTATTGAACTATTATTATAAAATGGAGTTTCTACCATCTAAAAAATTAAGTCACGCAGACGGATTGTCTAGACTAATACTGTTGCGGGGCCGATAAGGAGTCACGCCCGCAAGCTTTTAAGAAGAAAGGTGTGAACAGCTAAGATAATGAGAAATGCAAAATTCAGAGACACACCAAATCACCAGTTGGAACATTCGCCACACCCGACGTACGTTTCAGTCACATCCGGGGATCGACTGGACCTCGAATACCGCTGTTCCATTTGCCTGCCTCCGAGCTGCCGCTTTGAACCCTAACAACGATCCTTTAACTGGCACTCACTGACTTCACGATCGAACTATACCAAACAATTCCTGTACGTACATTTGTCCAGATCGGCAAATAAATCCGACGTTTGTTATTCTAAACCTCTGCATTTGTTTCTCATTGTCTTAGCTGTTCACACCTTTCTTTTTAAAAGCTTGCGGGGGCGACTCTTTATCGGGCTCGCGACAATACCAAGATTCTGGAAACCATTTGAAGACACAGTAACCGCGGCCATAAGGGACAAAAATTAAATTAATAACGTATTATACAATACTGCAAGAGAACTGCCCATAACATTGGAGGAAATAAGAATTAAGGTGGAAAAAGATGACTTTATAATAAAAATGAAGAAGCAATTAAGATTTAAAGGAAAAAAATATTACTGGAAATAATGCTTTTTCAAATGTAATAATGTATTTATAGACTACTAGCAGTAGAGCCCGGCGTTGCCCGGGGATGTAACAGTAAGAGATAGATCAAGTATCGGCCATCATAAAGACTGAAAAATAAAATTGACAAAGTATTGTTTAAGGTTGACGGACACGCATGTCTTAATTAGTTTTTTTTGTTTGTTTTTACGAATTGGTCAAACCCAAACTCAAACAAAAGCGTTGTTTTTTATCGTTATGAGTCTACCGATTGAACAGAATTTTATTATAAACAATTGTCTTGTAAATGAAATTTTTAAAGCATTTTGAATGTAAAAATAAAGAAAAATGTGTGCAAGACAATAAGAAACACTAACTGCCAAAAAAAAAAAAAGTTTTGTTGAAATCGGTTGAAAAATGTAGGAAATCCGATCCCATATATAAACGAACACAGACACACACTCACAAAAAACCTGGGTTTTATAATAATTATAACTCGATATGAGTTGTCCCCCTTTCATTCGCGACAGCGATGCCTCTTAATCGTGTTTTCAAATTGATTTCGTGCAAAAACAATTGTGTTTTTTCTATTTTCGGCACTGTCAGAACCACCGCAAGGTAATTTTACATAGTCCTGTGAAGTTTTGTTGAAATCGGTTGAAAAATGTAGGAAATCCGATCCAATATATAAACGAACAGACACGCACACACACAACCTGGGTTTTATAATAAGTATGATTCCGAATGGCTATCATCAGAAAAAATTGTGATACCAGTATCATTGCAAAAACGTATGCTAAAGGAATTTCACATAGGGCATCCAGGAATTTCTAGAATGAAATCCTTAATGAGGTGTTATACTTACTGGCGAAAAATGGATCAAAATATCGAAAATTTAGTGAAAACATGTAGATGTTGTGCTCTGGCAGTGAAGTCACCGCCTATCAAAATTCAACCTTGACCGAAAACTGATATTCCATGGTCCAGAATACATATAGAATTTACAAGGCCATTAAAGAAGCATACTATCTAGTGGTAGTTGATAGTTACGCTAAATGTCCAGAAATATTAAAATGTAAAAGACGAGAACATCAAGGAATCAAAATAATATAAATAAGTATTTTAAATCCAGTAGTAAGGTGTTCTTTAAAATGTATGAACGTGGAAAAGAATTCTGGGAAGATGATGTTAAAAAAATGGATTGGAAAAATGACATACATGGTACAGGGACAAAGGTAGATTCAACACCTTAATCATTTAAAACGGAGATTAACTGATTTAGTAAGTCCACGAAAAGAGGTACCGATGGAAATATTGTATGACATGTTTGATGTTTCCATGATACCAGAAATTAGTGAACCAAGGAGGTACAGTAAAAGAAAAAGAACAGCAACGGAACATTTTCTTTTTACTTTCAGACTCAGCGATCATGAGAGCACAGATGACTTTTTAAACCAGCCTTACTTTTACAAGCCTTTGCACAAATGTTGCCCCTGAAAGGGAGAATTTTCATGAGTCTTGCTGATCCAGAAGCTGACTTGTATACTTTATGGCAGAGTGTACAAGAAGGCACAAGGATTGATTTCTGGCTTCTTTCAATGGATTGAGCCTGATGAGACCTAAGGTGACTTTGAAGACCCGCCTTTGGAAGAGCAAAACTACCACATAAACTACATACATGTTGTAAGTTTAGGGTGGAAGGTGGAAGGTAGCACTTCAAGATTACCTTAGCATGTTCCACCACTGGTTACAAACTTAGTGATCTAACGTTCTCCACAAAGGTCAACATTCATCTTCCAGTTTCCTGGTATCAATTGATATCCCAAGTGCTTTGAAATTGGTTTTGATACAATCTTTAAAGCGCTTTATGTCCCTTGACTGGGTGTGGTCGTAGGGTCGCTGTGCAGCTGAGAACCTGACCAATAATTCCCACCACATATATGTTGAAAGCTGGAGAGGTATTCATTCATGCATAGCAGGTCTTTGACAAGTAGATCTAGTGGTGCTTATACCTCATGCTAATGCCCTCGAATATGAAGGCTCATCTTGGCCGTTGATTATAATAGAGAAACCTTCACCCTGGCCATTGACTTCAGTCTAATAAGCCCTCCACCCAGTGGATACCATGTCATCACTGCACTGGCTGCAGACATAGCTATGGACCTTGATCTACTTCATTGCACTTGATGACCATTCACCTACAAGAAGGTTCATCTCTACTTTGACTGGTCTTATTTTTAATCCTGCTGGGTGTCTAGCCACTCTCCTCACCAGAAAATCCTGGTGGAGGAACCGGTTTAGTTGCCAATGACATGACCATGTGGCAGGTAAGTACTGGTTTACATTTGTAGACTGACCTGACATAATCCATATCAAAAGACCAAAACTAAAAAACTGGCAAAATATTTCTTTTAGTTTCCAAATGTATCTTTTTTTCCTCCAAAGAAAGAATTTATATTATAAACTGAACAAATAATATTTGATAATATATAACAGTTTGAGATTGTTTTTTAAATTTATTATTTCATATTATCAATTTTAAAAAAACTGTTAAATAAAAATAAAAAAAATTACAATCTTGCATTTAATTTTTTTCTTTTCTTACTCAAGAATTTCCTAGCCATGGCGTCTGCAGTGGATACATCTATGAGCCGAATGTTTCGTCGTTTGACTCGTAGAGACCAGTCTTTTTTGATGAGACCACCTGTGCATGGCCGGAAGCTATTACAACCAATGAAGATGCCAACAAATAAAAGAGAAAGGGATTTGTTAGAGAAACAGGTGTATCTTCGAGAAAATTTACCTGTTCTGAACAAAAAGGAAACTGCCAAGTAAGTACAGTGATGATTGTACACACACACACACACACACAAACACACACACACACACACACTTGTTTAATGAAAGGGATGGTTCTAGATTTCCTATCAGAATGCCCAATATTTCAAATGTTTATTTTCATGGCCGACAAGCTTTCCTGTCACAACATAATCATATTGTTGACATTTCTCTCTATTTTATTCTGTGCTAATCTGAGTAAATATCTATATATCTATATCTATAAAGATATTTACCAAAATAAATGTACTTTGGTAAATATCTATCAATACATATATCTGATAAGCCTATTTTGGTACAAAACCAGATGTTAAAAAAAAATAAATATATACATGTAAATGTGAAAGACTGTCTTGACTCATCATTTACATGTTGTTCATATCTTTGGTGTTATTTTCACAACATTTATTGCTATTGTACTCTCTGGTCTTCATCTGGTGCTTGTCAATCTGGGTAACATTCGAGGAATTTTGAACTGAACCCTTTACTTAATCTATGTGGATAGATTGTTCTTGTTTGGTTGGCCAGTTATTGTTTACACTGTTTCCATTGGCTCTAAATCTGCACTACGCAGCCCAGTAACTCACAGTTACTATCTTACCATATCATTGAATCAATGTTTTTAACTACTAAGCTATTGTTCCATGGGACAATTCAGAGTAGAGATTGTTTTAAAACTAGCCTGTCTGATGATGGTGCTGCTGTTGCTAGTCACTTGATTATATATATATATATATATATATATATATATATATATATATATATATATTCAAAAAATATACATGTATGTGTATGCACCTATGTATATATATTTATATATTTTGCATATGTATGTATATTTTTACCACTAATATTAACTATATATATATATATATATATATAGTTAATATTAGTGGTAAATATATATATATATATATATGTATGTATATATATATATATATATATATATATATATATATATTAATATTAATGGTAAATATATATATATATATATATATATATATATATAGTTAATATTAGTGGTAAATATACACATACAGATGCAAAATATATAAATATATATACATAGGTACATACCCATACATGTATATTTTTTGAATAAAAAATTCCAAGAAGATAGAATCCAGGTCGAACTCAATGTCCAGAACAGAGTAAGGATATAATAAAAAGGCTTAAACACTAATATTCCATGGTCATAATTTATTCCATTGGAATCGTAAATACGATCCAATTCATCAGACCTACAAATTCAAAAAGAAAACAGAAAAAACAATTCCGGAAATAAAAATAGAATTTAGAGAGAGTGTGGGACGAAAGTTAGAGCTAAAGAGAGGGGTAACAGACGAAAGAAGGTATATATATATATATATATATATATATATATATATTGTGTACCTCTGATGGTCACTCCTTATCATGGTCAAAGGGCTTTCATAGTCTAATGACTCTGAGAACAATGCTGTCAGGAGTTCAGGAACTCCTAGTAAGGCGACTCTTGGCAGCAAGGTCGAAGATGAGGACCCAGACTAAATGTGACCAACCCCAAAGATCCCAATGGTAGAACAAGTGGATGATGATTACAACAGAGCTCAACAGTTGAACCAGTGACTGAAGAGGGCTACGCATGATGGACATGCCACAGAAGGTGCCACTCAAAATTATAACAGAATCAACAACAGTCCATTGCAGTTTCATAACTGGATTCTGCATATCTCATTCCATATGTGCCACAGGGGAAGGCCATGAAATGAAGTGTGTGCATCACTTTCTGGCAAGTTGAGTTCCCCCTTAAACAAATTCATGCCATCAGCACTTTCTTTACCTCCAATCAATTCATGCAAAACGAAATGGCATAAGGGAATGGATGACAGGAACAGATTTTGATGAAACTGGAAGCTTCTAGTCCTGAACTTGCACATTGGCAGTGAATTTAGTCATCAATGCCATTATCATAAAGGAAGTGATCTGCAAAGAAGAAATTAAATTCTTGGACATGAAATAAAGCTGGCACTGGCAATGGTGTTTATATATATATATATATATATATATATATATATATATATATATGTTATAAATTAAATGATTTAAAATATGTTTTTTTTTCGCTACACAGTAATAACCATGTTTCAAAAATGGAAGCTAAAAATTTCAAATTTAATTATATAATTAAATTAAAAGCATTAGTTCCATTTCATCTTTAAGCGAATTTTGGAATAACTTATTTTTAAATTTACTGAGTTTTAAACACACATATAAATTCATAATTTCCTGTTTCCAAGGATACAGAGAAATCCAATCATTCAGACAGTGGTGGTGTTCATTTTTATTAACTATTGTTGTATCAATTATGAGATGTGTTCCAAAAAGAGGTTAAGTTTAGGGCAGGTAGTGGTGTATTTTTAAACAAATTCTGACATCTGTTAAATGCATGTTGTCTGGGTTTTTTTTTTGTATTTTTTTCTCTCTTTTTTAATGGCAAAAAGTTTTTGGCATTTTTTCTGTACTTATATACTTAAAGATTCTATCTAGGGGTGTTTGGGTTATAATACGTTTTATTTAACTACAATTTTCAAATATTTTTACTCATAATTACTAATAGACTATATTTCTATTTAAAACAAGTAAATGTAATAGAATTACTTAAATTATTTAAAATTTTTTCATATCAAATATAAGTATGTATATTACTAGCTCCCATTTTTCTATTTTATTTTATTTTTTAAAATTATTTAAGGAAAATTTTTGACAATGACGGCAAAGAATAGCTATTTAATTTCTCTGATTCAGTAAATTTTTATTTTTTATAAACTTAGTAATATATAGTTTCTCATGTATGCGCAAAGGACATGGGTCATTTAATGACCTACATATTCTAGCTTTTCTTATTAATTTCCATTTTACTGTAGGTGTTTTATTGGATTCTTTTAAGTGCCAGAAATATTTTGAAAGGGAATGTCTGATTTCTGTATTTATTTATCCTAAATGAAGTTTGATGTTGATTGAACCACTTTTTGAACTCATGGCTTGTGCAACCTATATAGATTTTTATGTTTTCAGGATTCTCAATAGATGAGATATTGCATTGGTATACTAATGATTCTGTGCGACATTTATTTTGTAGACAGTTATGAGGATTTCTATAGCTACGTAATTTTTGTTTATCTTCATATCTTTTTATTTTTATTTTTACATTGTCTAAATTTCTTTGGTTTTGGTCTAAGTGTTTATTGAAGATATTAGCATTAACAAAAATATTACCAGGAAAAAAAAAGTTGTTGGCATTAAATGACCCATTGAGGTTGATATGCCGTAAAACAAAACAAACCAAACTAAACCATAACTTGACATGTAATTATAAAGTGAATTTTCATCTGGAATTTTCCCTGTATAATGTTTGATTAAAATTCACTCCTGATGTAACTGGATTGACAAGGAAAAATAAATATTTGTGTGAAATAAATGTTTATTTTTTGTTAAGCTACAGACTTATTGGTGTGTATACAATAATGTCAATAATGATATATAATAACTTTGATTCTTGTTACAATTTCAACTAAATGAAAATGAAGCTCTGAGAAAATTATACAGTTCTTGCTTATATATATATATATATATATATATATATATATATATATATATATATATATATATATATATATATATATAGCATAGATAGGAATCTAACAAAATGTTAGGAAAAAAGAACAAGTCGAAAACAGCTCTTCATCTTCATGTTTTACTTTATTAAAGTTTTGTTATAGAGACACAGATTAATGGTATGTTGTGTTTTGTTATATCAAAACATCCTACTGCATCTTGCTAACTTTTACACACTTTAGTGTTGGGAATGTTTGCCATACATATTATCTGTTACTTCATTACATGTGACACATATCTAAGCAATAAGAAATAGCAAAAAACAACATGGTATTAATCTGTATCATTTTGCTTTTATCATTTTATCATGGCCTGATGATTGCATATAGCATGAAAGAGACTGTCGCCTCTGAGTGTTGACTTTTATGTTCACTTTTATATATATATATATATATATATATATATTTAGTTGGATAGATGTGAGTTTGTGACCCTGGGTTTCATGCTTTAGCGATCGTCAGACGATCGCTAAAAGCGTGAAACCCAGGGTCACAAACTCACATCTATCCAACCAAATATATTAGCTCTATCTCTGATATTGAGCGCATATAATATATAAATAATTATACATATATATATTTATTTATATTTATATACACTTTTCACATATACATATATATATATATATATATATATATATATATATATATATATGATGGACTCTCCTGTTGATTTCTATGTATGACCACCCAATAATCACATTCAGTTTTTATGTTTGTGTCATATGTGAAACTTCAGCCCACTAGTGACCTGCATACAAGTCCAAATATTGTGAAACAATGAAGATCTTGGAATAGTTACAGGAATATTTGCTAATGCTTTTTGCTCTTGCCTTTTGCCCTTTTCAGCTGATCAATACAACTGATTTCTGATATCGCTCTGGCACAAATATCTCCAGTTATTTCTATCCAGGGCAACTCACCTAAGTTATTATGAGGCACATTGACAGCTGAGAAGTTATTCTTTATACCTGACCCATGACCATCCAACAGTCCACTATCAAGTTGCCTATACATAAGGACTTTAGGTATTCTATTGTTACTCATCTTTGCAACATGACCAGCCCAGCAAAGTTGTGACTGCATCAGGTGTCTCAGTTCCACCAATGTTGCATTTTGTGAGAAGATCAACATTGAAAACCTTATTGTGAAAAGTAAAGCCACAGATTGCACGGAGACAACTGCATATATATTGCATGGACATAGGAATCAGCTGCATAGTGACTGCCATTTTCCTGCTTTTCTAGGCTAAAATTGTTGGAAGCATGAAACTGACAGTCATTATACTGTGTCAATTTCTATGTTCACATACTATATATATATATATATATATATATATGGGATGGGGTGAAATACATATATATGTATAGAAAGAGAGTGGGAGAGAAAATAAAGAGAGTGTGAGAGATTTGCTAATATACCACATATGTGTATATTTTGATGGATTGTACTGGCAACACCAGGTGGTAGTGTCTTTTTTTTTTATGATAATGGTAAGCAAGCCAGGAGCTGAAAAGGTTGACTAAAACTATAATAATTAAAAAAAAAATGTAAAGATTCACATGTGAAAACCTAAAATGATAATGGATAAATTTCATATTTCCGTCCTTTTTGATAGCATAGGAAAAACTATTTTTTTCATTTTATTAATTTTGAGATTAATTCCACCATCCAATATTCGTGCTTTTTTTTTGCTCACTTTATTCCTTTCCATGTATTTCTGTATAAACATGATAGTTGCTAGAATTAATTATTTGTGTGAAGAAAACTAATGCATATCATTTTCCTTCTTTTTATTTCTTATATTTGTTGCTAACATGTTCCTTTAATTTGGTGATGCAATCAATTAGTTACAATATCTCTTTCTGTTTGCAGCTATTGGAAGTCTTTCAAGCATAGTCTGTGTGTTGATTTGCTCGCATCTGGCTTTCATTTGTCCTTTGATGAGATCTTCAATCTCATTCAAGAGCAGAAGAAGCGAATATCACCATATGAAAAGAAACAAACATTATTGGAAGAAGAAAAAGACAAATTGAATATAATCAAGAAACAATTGATGGAAGCTGAATCTGCCATGCTTGCTGGTAAGTTCTACAGTTCTAAGTCTGCCTAATGCTATGTTGGTATGAAATTCCAATTTCTGTGCACTCCTAATCAATTTACTCTTGCTTACTGCCAACACAACCATTACTGTCTTGCAAGATAAACAGATGCTGATTACTACTACTGCCAACACATTGTCCAGCAGGGCATGTTAAGGCTCATCAATTCTAATGTTTTGCATTTATAACAAAATGCTAGTTGTCCTTGATGGTCATCAGATTTAAATAAAAGCCTAGCCACATCACTTTCCTTCGGTCAGGGCTATATGCTTCAAGAATATCCAAACACAATTTCATGATCAGTAAAAGGAAGACAGTATGTTATATTGGCACCTAAAATGTCAGAGCCATTTCTAAAGACATACATTAGAACAACTTTAAGTGAGATTTAAAACATTAAATGGGACATCATTGGTATTAGGAAAATGAGAAAACCATGTGAACAACTATAAAAATTTATGAACAAAATGTATCAAAGGGGAAAATGGAAAAATTATGGGTTGGAAACCACAAGAAAAATGTAGCAGGATTTGAAGCTACTTTAGAATGCATAAGTCAGTGTCACCATAGAACTTTCAAAGAGATACAGAATAAATATCTTTACAGTTTAGACTCTCACTTCACATAAGTTTGTCTATTGTCCAGTTCACATTTCTCACCAGTTTTTTGAACAAGAGTAGAGGTTTATCCCATGTTTCCTGTTTAGGATTGGGTTTCGCATTCCTTTTGAAGTCTACCACAACTCTATATTCCTAACATCTCCAACTGAGCTCTGATTAATTATTTATCTTTCTTCTCTCTCAATAGGAGTAGATAGGTTCACCTATCATCTGTTTCATGCTCTTCCACGGTTTTTTGAACAGAAGTAGAGGTTTATCCCATGTTTACTGTTTAGGATTGGGTTTCGCATTCCTTCTGAAGTCTACCTCAACTCTATATTCCTAACATCTCCAACTGAGCTCTGATTAATTATTTATCTTTCTTCTCTCAATAGGAGTAGATAGGTTCACCTATCATCTGTTTCATGCTCTTCCACTGTTTTTTGAACAGAAGTAGAGGTTTATCCCATGTTTACTGTTTAGGATTGGGTTTCGCATTCCTTCTGAAGTCTACCTCAACTCTATATTCCTAACATCTCCAACTGAGCTCTGATTAATTATTTATCTTTCTTCTCTCTCAATAGGAGTAGATAGGTTCACCTATCATCTGTTTCATGCTCTTCCACGGTTTTTTGAACAGAAGTAGAGGTTTATCCCATGTTTACTGTTTAGGATTGGGTTTCGCATTCCTTCTGAAGTCTACCTCAACTCTATATTCCTAACATCTCCAACTGAGCTCTGATTAATTATTTATCTTTCTTCTCTCTCAATAGGAGTAGATAGGTTCACCTATCATCTGTTTCATGCTCTTCCACGGTTTTTTGAACAGAAGTAGAGGTTTATCCCATGTTTACTGTTTAGGATTGGGTTTCGCATTCCTTTTGAAGTCTACCTCAACTCTATATTCCTAACATCTCCAACTGAGCTCTGATTAATTATCTATCTTTCTTCTCTCTCAATAGGAGTAGATAGGTTCACCTATCATCTGTTTCATGCTCTTCCATGGTTTTTTGAACAGAAGTAGAGGTTTATCCCATGTTTCCTGTTTAGGATTGAGTTTCGCATTCCTTTTGAAGTCTACATCAACTCTATATTCCTAACATCTCCAACTGAGCTCTGATTAATTATCTTTCTTCTCTCTCAATAGGAGTAGATAGGTTCACCTATCATCTGTTTCATGCTCTTCCACGGTTTTTTGAACAGAAGTAGAGGTTTATCCCATGTTTACTGTTTAGGATTGGGTTTCGCATTCCTTCTGAAGTCTACCTCAACTCTATATTCCTAACATCTCCAACTGAGCTCTGATTAATTATTATCTTTCTTTCTTTCTCTCTCAATAGGAGTAGATAGGTTCACCTATCATCTGTTTCATGCTCTTCCACGGTTTTTTGAACAGAAGTAGAGGTTTATCCCATGTTTACTGTTTAGGATTGGTTTCACATTCCTTCTGAAGTCTACCTCAACTCTATATTCCTAACATCTCCAACTGAGCTCTGATTAATTATTTATCTTTCTTCTCTCTCAATAGGAGTAGATAGGTTCACCCATCATCTGTTTCATGCTCTTCCACGGTTTTTTGAACAGAAGTAGAGGTTTATCCCATGTTTACTGTTTAGGATTGAGTTTCGCATTCCTTTTTGAAGTCTACCTCAACTCTATATTCCTAACATCTCCAACTGAGCTCTGATTAATTATCTTTCTTTCTCTCTCTCAATAGGAGTAGATAGGTTCACCTATCATCTGTTTCATGCTCTTTCCACGGTTTTTTGAACAGAAGTAGAGGTTTATCCCATGTTTCCTGTTTAGGATTGAGTTTCGCATTCCTTTTGAAGTCTACATCAAATCTATATTCCTAACATCTCCAACTGAGCTCTGATTAATTATCTTTCTTCTTTCTCTCAATAGGAGTAGATAGGTTCACCTATCATCTGTTTCATGCTCTTCCACGGTTTTTGAACAGATGTAGAGGTTTATCCCATGTTTCCTGTTTAGGATTGAGTTTCACATTCCTTTTGAAGTCTACCTCAACTCTATATTCCTAACATCTCCAACTGAGCCCTGATTAATTATTTATCTTTCTTCTCTCTCAATAGGAGTAGATAGGTTCACCCATCATCTGTTTCATGCTCTTCCACGGTTTTTTTGAACAGAAGTAGAGGTTTATCCCATGTTTCCTGTTTAGGATTGGAGTCTCCTGATTCCTTTTGAAGTCTACCTCAACTCTATATTCCTAACATCTTCAACTGAGCTCTGATTAATTATCTTTCTTCTCTCTCAATAGGAGTAGATAGGTTCACCTATCATCTGTTTCATGCTCTTCCACGGTTTTTTGAACAGAAGTAGAGGTTTATTCCATGTTTCCTGTTTAGGATTGAGTTTCGCATTCCTTTTGAAGTCTACCTCAACTCTATATTCCTAACATCTCCAACTGAGCTCTGATTAATTATTTATCTTTCTTCTCTCTCAATAGGAGTAGATAGGTTCACCCATCATCTGTTTCATGCTCTTCCACGGTTTTTGAACAGAAGTAGAGGTTTATCCCATGTTTCCTGTTTAGGATTGGGTTTCGCATTCCTTTTGAAGTCTACCTCAACTCTATATTCCTAACATCTCCAACTGAGCTCTGATTAATTATTTATCTTCTCTCTCAATAGGAGTAGATAGGTTCACCTATCATCTGTTTCATGCTCTTCCACGGTTTTTTGAACAGAAGTAGAGGTTTATTCCATGTTTCCTGTTTAGGATTGAGTTTCGCATTCCTTTTGAAGTCTACATCAACTCTATATTCCTAACATCTCCAACTGAGCTCTGATTAATTATTTATCTTTCTTCTCTCTCAATAGGAGTAGATAGGTTTACCTATCATCTGTTTCATGCTCTTCCACGGTTTTTTGAACAGAAGTAGAGGTTTATCCCATGTTTCCTGTTTAGGATTGAGTTTCGCATTCCTTTTGAAGTCTACATCAACTCTATATTCCTAACATCTCCAACTGAGCTCTGATTAATTATTTATCTTTCTTCTCTCTCTCAATAGGAGTAGATAGGTTCACCTATCATCTGTTTCATGCTCTTCCACGGTTTTTTGAACAGAAGTAGAGGTTTATCCCATGTTTCCTGTTTAGGATTGAGTTTCACATTCCTTTTGAAGTCTACCTCAACTCTATATTCCTAACATCTCCAACTGAGCTCTGATTAATTATTTTTTCTTTCTCTCTCTGTTCAATAGGAGTAGATAGGTTCACCTATCATCTGTTTCATGCTCTTCCACGGTTTTTTGAACAGAAGTAGAGGTTTATCCCATGTTTCCTGTTTAGGATTGAGTTTCGCATTCCTTTTGAAGTCTACATCAACTCTATATTCCTAACATCTCCAACTGAGCTCTGATTAATTATCTTTCTTCTCTCTCAATAGGAGTAGATAGGTTCACCTATCATCTGTTTCATGCTCTTCCACGGTTTTTTGAACAGATGTAGAGGTTTATCCCATGTTTCCTGTTTAGGATTGAGTTTCACATTCCTTTTGAAGTCTACCTCAACTCTATATTCCTAACATCTCCAACTGAGCCCTGATTAATTATTTATCTTTCTTCTCTCTCAATAGGAGTAGATAGGTTCACCCATCATCTGTTTCATGCTCTTCCACGGTTTTTTGAACAGAAGTAGAGGTTTATCCCATGTTTCCTGTTTAGGATTGAGTCTCGCATTCCTTTTGAAGTCTACCTCAACTCTATATTCCTAACATCTCCAACTGAGCTCTGATTAATTATCTTTCTTCTCTCTCAATAGGAGTAGATAGGTTCACCTATCATCTGTTTCATGCTCTTCCACGGTTTTTTGAACAGAAGTAGAGGTTTATCCCATGTTTCCTGTTTAGGATTGAGTTTCGCATTCCTTTTGAAGTCTACCTCAAATCTATATTCCTAACATCTCCAACTGAGCTCTGATTAATTATCTTTCTTCTTTCTCAATAGGAGTAGATAGGTTCACCTATCATCTGTTTCATGCTCTTCCACGGTTTTTTGAACAGAAGTAGAGGTTTATCCCATGTTTCCTGTTTAGGATTGAGTTTCACATTCCTTTTGAAGTCTACCTCAACTCTATATTCCTAACATCTCCAACTGAGCCCTGATTAATTATTTATCTTTCTTCTCTCTCAATAGGAGTAGATAGGTTCACCCATCATCTGTTTCATGCTCTTCCACGGTTTTTTGAACAGAAGTAGAGGTTTATCCCATGTTTCCTGTTTAGGATTGGGTTTTAGCATTCCTTCTGAAGTCTACCTCAACTCTATATTCCTAACATCTTCAACTGACAGCTCTGATTAATTATCTTTCTTCTCTCTCAATAGGAGTAGATAGGTTCACCTATCATCTGTTTCATGCTC